TATATATATATATATATATATATATATATATCAATATACACACATTATATACAATATATATATACAAACATATATATATATACATACATATATATACACACATATATACATACATATAAATACATATATATGTATATGTGTGTGTGTATATATGTATATATGGTATTAGAGTAAGAAACATTTATCAAGGCTAAAATTTAACTGTTAATGTTTATATCCACGCTGTTCAGTGAACCTGTCCCTATTCAATTCTTTACACAAACATCTGCAAGAATCATGACACACGAATAAATACTGCTTACGGTTCAGTAACTAGAATATGTCATTGTTCGGAATTACAGTCCTTTTCTTTTTTATTCTACCATAAAATATCATAAGCTTTAAGGATGTGTAAACAAAGGCCGTACCGCACTTTTGTACATTACATCGTTCGAGATAGAAGCCAAAATGGAACTTATCAAATTCACTCTTGTAACTTTGGTGTACTTGTTTGAACTGCCCAGCATAAGTTCAGGTAAGCCATCAAGTATCCGTGCTTAAATTATTTGGAGGACTAGTGCGTGTAGATTACCAAGTCAATTGTTTAGAGGTGGATATAATTCTTTAAGGCTTTAAATATCACTCGCTAGAAGCGGGAATCGAGTATTGCCTAAGTGTATAAAATTTATACAAGGTTGCGTGCACTTTGTTTCTTGTGTGTGGTAAAATTAATATCCATTTCAGGATTGTGCCAATCTGCAAAACAAAAAAACAATAACTTTATTTAATATCTTATTCAATGTACTTTATTTTGACAATCACAATTTAACAATTTTATTAACACAAAAAAGACATTAAATAAATATAGAACTTATTTATTTTTTTGACATTTATCAAAATAAATTGATTTTAAACATGTTTTAACCAACTCAAGACCTCCATACAAGCCATCTACTGCACAATTAACCGTAAAAACGTTTAAACATAATTAAACAACGGAATCTCAATGTGGATACACTCATGGAGGAATTATAGTTTATACACTACTTACTGGATGCAGGGTTCCCGAAACGTCGCGCCCAGTGGCGTGTGCGAAGCACAACCCAAAGTCAGAAGTGGAACGTAAAATCTTGATTTGGTTTTGTAGTCGGATTTGCGAAAAAAAAACAAAACTTCAGCTACCCGTATAGGAGGTGCTACCCTTAATTCGTATTATGGAATTTACGCCCCCAAACCTTGTAGTTATTAATATTTTTAACAATTGTTATAAGTTACCGTAGTTACCAACCTGAGAGAGATTTGAAATGCGTGACTACCAGTTCTGAGGGGAGGATGGGGGCGCCAGGGGCTTAGCTTCGGTTGAGTTCGGGTTTGATTGAGTCACATATCAACGGTTCGTTGTGTGACAATGAACGCACAAGATCGCACTCGCCACATTTTAGAAAGTGCGTGGTTGGCTGAGTTATTTTGGTTGAAATAGAGAAATTTTCTCGGTGAAAATTAGGCCTAGGCCTACTGTATGACTTATGACTTTATATTTTTAATAAAACAGTTTCTTCTCATTTTAAATACATTTTCCATTAATTTGTAATCACGGTTAGACTTGTGCTAAATGCGTGACCAAATTATGATCACACATGTGTTTCTGCAAAATGCGTGTTTCATCCAAAATCACATTGAAATGCTGGAACGTCCTATACGATACGAGACGGTTCAGGGACGTATCCAGGGGGAAGCCGTGGGAGCCGCGGCTCGCCCCCCCCCCCTTTGTACACAATGTTAAAATTTTAAAGGTTATTCTTGGGCCAATACAAATTCTTTCCTGGGATCACTCAAAGTGAATACTTCCAAAACATGTAAATATGCATCAGTACACGTTATACATGTCTCCCTAAGCGTGATTTAAAAAAATCTTAAATCCATAAATCTCAGGCCAGGTCTTTTAAGATAGAAATGCGATATTGTGGTTCAATTTCGTTTTTATCCTTTTCCAAGTCTTTAAATTTTTGTTTAATGATACTAGGCCTACTACTAATAGTAATAATAATAATAATAACATACTCAAAGACAATGTTTTTAAGCTTTGTTTTCTGTGGTATATCACACACACATTAATGAAGATCTCTATGGTTGTCAAAAATCCCTAATAAAAGATCATGAGAATTTTTTTGGCGCTTCATTTTGACTAATGGTGATGTGATGATGATGAATTTTACCAAAAGTGTCATTTCTGGCCATCTAGAATTACTATTTCCTCAAATTTTCTCACCTCAGCTCCAACCATGTGGGGCCGAGATGGGTGTCGACTCCCAAAATGCCCTCCCCTCCACCTTTCAAAACAGATCTGTGCCCTTCCCTGGGTAAACTCCATCGAGTCGGCTCCTGATGTATGTCTTAGTGACTGCTGTTTGTTTTTAGGATGTGATCGGGTTTTACATGTCCATTCGTGATTATGACTATTCTGGATGGTTTTGAGCAGAGGTGGATTCAAGGCCCCCCCCCCACCCCACTTCATTTTTTAAGGAAAAAAAAAGAAAATTATATTCAAATTGAAGTGCGAGAGTGTAATTTCCGGCCGTCTAGAGATGCCCTAATAATAAATTTTCTTACCTTAGCCCCAACCATGGTGGGGCTGAGGTGAGTGGTTCCCCAGTCTGTGAATGTCCCTCCCTGGTTCACCTCTCTTTCGAATTCCTGGATCTGCCACTGTTGATTTATTATATAATTATTTTTTGAGCTTATTTATAATGCGTCTATTGCAATTTTCACTTTATCCTCTCAAACAGTCCTAAGAACGTTCAGAGTGCGCTACTTCACAGGGGGAATTGACCCCGCCGGGGTCCTACGTAATTTGCATAACGGCTCCCCCCCCCCCTTTCAAAATCCTGGCTACGTCCCTGAGACGGTTGGTAACTATGTTATGACCAATAGGAATTGAGAATTACAGTGGCCTTATTTAATGCCAGGGGAGTGACCACATTTCAAAAAAAGAAAAGAAATGCGGACTGCTTAATCAATATTTATTATCTTTACGGGGGTCTTAGGTAACTGTCTAAATGGACCTTACCATGTGAAGATATATGACGTCGTTGGACTTTAAAATATACAAAGATGGTTAAATAAATAAAGTTAAAATAAAGTGAAAATTCTCTAAAAAGACACACACCATGTTTGATAATAGTGCTATGAAACTGCTACTATATCGCTACAAACGTTAAAGAGAAACGCGTCTCAAACCAAGTCGACTTTGTAACATTTTCGTAGTTTCTGTAAAAAAAGAAAAATAACACCAAGTGATACACGTAATATTAATATTC